ATGGTTCTTTGACACTGCACTCCCCCTCAATGAGATCTATCTACCTACAATGTTTCATGTTGATATCTCTTATAGTTTTAGAGTTATATTCCTGACAAAGTTCAAAGTGTTAAAATTAATAAAGGGCAATAACTCCAAAATTAGGCAAAAAAGAGTTATGGTTTTTGTACACTGCACATCTACCCATAGAGAAATATTTACCTACAAAGTTTCATGTTGATATCTCTTATAGTTTAAGAGTTATGTCCCGGACAAGATTTTTCTAAAAGGGGAGATTATTTAAAAACTGGGCAAAATAGAGTTATGGTTCTTTGACACTGCACTCCCCCTCAATGAGATCTATCTACCTACAATGTTTCATGTTGATATCTCTTATAGTTTTAGAGTTATGTTCCGGACAAAGTTCAAAGTGTTAAAATTAACAAAGGGCAATAACTCCAAAATTAGGCAAAAAAGAGTTATGGTTCTTGTGCACTGCACATCTACCCATTGAGATCTATTTACCTACAAAGTTTCATGTTGATATCTCTTATAATTTTAGAGTTATGTCCCGGACAAGATTTTTCTATAAGGGGAGATAATTCAAAAACTGGGCAAAATAGAGTTATGGTTCTTTGACACTGCACTACCCCTAAATGCCCTCTACCACTGTATGAAGTTTAAACAAATTATCTCCAAGGGTTTTCAAGTTATGCTCAGGACAAGACAACGGACGGACAGACGGACGTTCCAACATTTTGGCTTTAGGGGCTATTTTCTTTGTTATTTTCTTTGTTTTCTTAAGGGCTACTAGCCCCTTAACCCTTTGATCACAGAATGAACCTATTGTTCTCTTTTGTTCTCTTTACTGTTATATAGCCCCTAAACCCAAAATGTTTGCTCGGAGAGACGGACGGACAGACGGACAAGGCCCCGATTATATGCTCCCCTTAAATTTTTCGGGGAGCATAAAAAATGTGTGAGTGTATGTGTGTGTGCCCGCCCGTGTGTGCCTGTATATATATTATAGCCAGTTACAGAATTATGAAAATTTAACCTTGATGGTCAAGGTCATTTAAAGCTCAAAGTCAAGGTTAGTTCAATCTTTATGAATGACTTGTCCAAAATGTTATTTTGTCAAAGTATGAAGATAATCCATCCCTTAATTACCAAGTTACAGTCAATTACAGCAAAAATCAGTGAATATTCAATAATTTAACCTTCAAGGTCAATATGAGTTTGATATAAATAAAGTTTTATCCCAAAGAATGTTCTGTTATAATATGAAGTCAATCCATTCAATAATAGCAAAGTTACAGCCAGTTACAGCCAAAAAATGAAAATTTCATTAATTTGACCTTTAAGGTCAAGGTCATATATGAGTAGAGGTCAAGGTCTGTCTGTTTAATTTAAAGGGCTATCCATTCAAAAATATCAAAGTTATAGCCACTCATAGCAAAAAATCAGTGAAAAAAACAAATAAAATTTAGACATTTAACCTTGAAGGTCAAGGTCATTTATGGATGAAGGTCAAGGTTAGTCTAGTATACTAAAAGGTATTGTCCAAAGGGTTGTTGTGGCCAAGTATGAAGACAATACACCAAGAACTTAAAAAGTTATTATCAACATACAAGTTTGCGGACGGCAACAGCAACACCGCCAGGACCATAACAATACCTCTACTTTAAAAAAAAAGGTCGTTTTTTTTTTTTAATTGAGCTTAAAAACTATTCAATTATGCCAAAACTCTAAATCAACACATGAAAATTAAACAAAACTAGAACTGCCACTGTCATGGCGTGAATACGCCCGCATACCACTTTGTCAGAATCAACAGTGGCCATTTTAGAGCTCAAGGTGAAACTCCCTTCCAAATATGAGGTTATGGACGGCAACAGCAATACCGACATGACTATAACAATACCTCTACTTTAAAAAAAAGGTCGTTTTTTTTTAAAAATTGAGCTTAAAAACTATTCAATTATGCCAAAACTCTAAATCAACACATGAAAATTAAACAAAACTAGAACTGCCACTGTCATGGCGTGAATACCCCCGCATACCACTTTGTCAGAATCAACAGTGGCCATTTTAGAGCTCAAGGTGAAACTCCCTTCCAAATCTGAGGTTACTAATCCAGTGCATTGCTAAGTTATGTATTCTCCATGCTTCAAATGTGAAAATGTCAAAATCAATACACTGCGGACAAGTATGCTTAAGCATTTAAGCAGACAAGCTTATCATAGCAAAAATCCCTGTGACCTTGACCTTTGACACAGTCACCTTTAAATCAATAGGGATCATCTACTAGTCATAAACAACCTCAATACCAAATATGAAGACTATTGACAAAAGCATTCTTAATCAATTGAGCGGAAAAGCTTTTTTAGTCAAGACCCCTGTCACCTTGACCTTTGACCCAGTGACCTCAAACTCAATAGGGGTCATCTACTAATCATGACTAACCTCCATGCCAAATATGAAGAATGTGGGTCAAAGGAATCTCAAGTTATTGGGTGGACAAGCTTTTTTTAGTCAAGGCCCCTGTGACCTTGACCTTTGACCCAGTGACCTCACAATCATTAGGGGTCATCTGCTAATCATGACTAACCTCCATGCCAAATATGAAGACTGTGGGTCAAAGGAATCTCAAGTTATTGGGGGGACAAGCTTTTTTTAGTCAAGGCCCCTGTGACCTTGACCTTTGAACTAGTGACCTTAAAATCAATACGGGTCATCTTCTAATCATGACTAACCTCCATGCCAAATATGAAGATTGTGGGCCAAAGGAATCTGAAGTTATTGGGCGGACAAGGAAAAACTGACGGACGGGGAGACGTCCGGACGGACAAGCTGATTCCAGTATACCCCCTTTACAACTTCGTTGTCAGGGGTATAATTATAATTTCAATGTACATAAACACATTGTCTGAAGCAAAAAGCTTAATTAAAAAATTTTCTAGCTCAAGTCTCAAATATTTTTACAGTCGACTCTTGTTATCTCGAAGTCATCCGGACCGTCCAAAAATATCGAGATAATGAAATGTCGAGATAAATGTATAAGGTTTGAACAAGGCAGTAACTGATTTTTACAAAGGCATTTGCATACCTTAAGTCAAATAAATTTAAAGTATGATATCTCTATGCCTTGTTTTTCAGCCTAATATCCCAAAGTCGATATTAAAGTTAAATTAGCGGATGTTTACCAGCGGAAATATGGGAGTCTGTGATAAAAACACATAGCGAGGTTTACTCAGTAATACACCACTATAGTGAAAACATTTTCAGCATGGTCGCTCCAGATATCCTCCTGGGTTTGTTATCGGACCATTTTCAAGATAGTTCTTCCGCTGTTTGATATTTTTTTCGATAGTGTAAAACAATATTGCAACGATAATGTTTCTATACTGAACACTTTTTCAATTACATCTGAAGTCACAATGAATTTAATACAGTGTTCGAATATTTTATAAATAGTGGAAGATTCACTCATTTTGGACATAAGTCAATCAATACGTTAATTAGGTAAACTTTTATAAACAAATTTCGACTTGTTACAAACAGTCATTATTATGACACATGCTATTAAGTGATTCTCGTCTGGTTTGTGTTTATCACACCTCTGCGGGAGAGAGACGAAAAATTATTAGTCGTGATAAAGAAAGGATAATAGCGTGAAAATTACTGTCGGGCTGAAATTTTACTTCGAGATACTGAAAATATCGAAATAAAAATATCGAGATAAACAAATATTTCCAATATGGATAAAGAAGGAAGAAAATAAGGACTTTCAAAATTTTATTGGGATAACGAAATATCGAGAAAAGTGATGTCGAGATAACGATAGTTGACTGTATTAATTTGTACAATTCAATTTACCATAACACCATGACATATCATGATCATACTTCCGTCCCCGACTCATTGACAAATGACCCATTGGGTCAGGGACGGAAATATGATCATGTTATGTCATGGTGTTATTTATTTTGTTTTCAAATAAATTTTCTTAAACCATGTAAAATTACTTTCATGAATTTGTGAGTGTCTGTACAGGTTCACTATGATAGCTGAATGATATACCTGAATTTCTTCCTCTTTTCTTTTCGTAATGTGTTTGTTTATACCTCCCAAAAAAAAGCCATCCGACTACATAAATTGTGAAAAATATTAAATTCTGGTTTATACATTTTCTTGTGTTCTAGGTTATACATTTTAAACAAACTCTTCTGAGAGGACACACAAGATTTGATTTTTTTTACTTCGTCCATGCTTTGTCAAATCATAATGTACAGACTGCTTCAGAGAAAGTGTATGCAGTATCTTGATTTCTTTGAAAGTGTACAGGTATCATAATGTGTATTTTCTGTAAATAGTGCGTTTTTACGATTTTTTTTGTACAAAGGAAACACAAAGGTTGAAAATATATTTTCTTAAATAGATTCTACATTGAACAAACTACCAGTCATCTGAAACTTTCAGTTTAATCAACAATTTCTCAATTTCTGTAACATTTCAATGGGTGTACACAGAATCCGGAATCCAAATCGCATTCAACGCGAAATACTGACGAGAAAGTGAAGATTTGTGTCAAGGCATTTGGAATGTCACCGCAATGCAGATGCTGCGATGGCATAAAAAAGTTGACCATTCAGGGTTCTGAACTTTCAATGCAGTTGACATTAATTCTAGCATATTTGAATGCTCTTAAAGCAGAAGTAAATTGCATTAGGATGGTCATACCTTCAATAGAGCTGTCAATGAAAAAATATTTTGTTACAATATATCGAAAGCTAAATATTGACAATACAAATAAAATTTACTAATTAAACAATGGAAGAGATATGAGATATCAACTTTCATCATGGTGTTATGTATGCTCGTTTTAGACATCACAAATACAACATTACATACTACATAGAAACTATTTTTTTCGCTATTATTTTCCATTGACCTCTGTAAAATTAAATTCAGGCTGTAAGCAGAGATGTTTATTTTGCCTAAAATTAGTATCAAAATACCTGCAAACTTTATCATTAAGCTCTAGGTTTTCTAGACTAAGTTTCCGGAGATCTTTACATATAGAGAATATTTCTTCTAGAACATCAGGGCCAGTGCCTGCCATACTGAGATCTAAATATTGCACTTTTGACAACCTGGAATATAAAATAGAATAGAATAGGAAAGAATAGGAATAAAGATAGGAGAGCATATGATTGGAATAGGAATAAAATAGAACAGGAACAGGCAATTATCATGGTTTTGCAAGCAATACATCAGCTAGAACCCAGGACCTTGGCCATTCAATAATGCCATTGTAAAGACATGAATGAACATAAATCTTTTGAGTTTTAAGTTTGTCTGTAAGATAATGTATTAAGTTTCCCTGCCTAGTAAGGAAATTATTTTATACAACAAATAATCAATCTAATTTTCTCAAGATGAATATGTATAACTGATGTATCATCTTTTCTTTATTTTAAGTAAAATTGTTGGAAAAGTTCCAAGTTCTTTAAAAGTAATCTCAGTGATTAAGTGATTTAAGAGTGACCTCTCAAGTTTTTAAAAAATCAATGGGCCAATTTTGACCCAGGGCTATAATTTGAAGAATTATAAGTTTCATTAAATGTTACTACACACAAAATGTAAGCTCTAGGTAGGCTTTGCACTTTCAGAGACAATTTTAAACAACTCTTATAGCCATTCTGACCCAGATGCTCAATGGAGCAGAACCATTTGAACAATTTTAGTAGAGCTTCATGCTCGAAACATCCCAAGACAATTTTGACACTAGGAAAAAATTTGAACAACTTTGGTAAAGGACCAAATACCAAAGCTCTTGACCTTGTCCTTTCTGGTAATTATTACTATTTTGACACCTTATATGCTTGGCCTCATAATTCTCTACTAACTATTAATTTTACACAAAAAGTGTTAAATATAAAAGGACAAAAGCCCCCCCCCCCCCCAATCTAAAAATGACAAGGTGGACAACAGCGGCCCCCACTGTAATTTACACATAGGACAAAAGCCCACCCCCCCCCCCTCAAAAATTACAGGTAGGACAAAAGCATTCCCCCCCCCCCCCCCAAGTCAGTCAATCAAACAATTGTTATTGAGAATCTCATCAGTTAAAATCCAGAACAGAGACAAGTCAAATTCGGTATGTTTAATTTAACAAAAAAAATGCAATTGTTTAAAAGATAATTTACATTAAGATTTACATTTAAAGGTACAAAAGTTCTAATTTGATTTATTGTGTAATTCGTATATAATTTATTGATGATATAAATGTTATTATGTTTATCATATATTGTACAGTACAAATGTAAATGAATATTTTCAGAGAATTGATTATCAACGCTTATCAAGGAAATAAACCCCGCTGTGTATTTTCCAAGGTATTCAAGAAAAATCATGGAAAAAACCACGGAAGTCCAAGCTGTAAGGGAAACCTTATGTTGCAATTGTCCAAGGTGAAAACTTTTCCTTGGACATATTTCATGGTCGTCCGAAAAATTCCTAGGAATCGCTTGGACAATACCTTGGAAAGTAAAACTTAGTTTTTTTCAAGCTGGGAAAATGAACTCTTTCAGATACTTAGAAATTTTTTAGCTTTGAATTCACTTGGAAAATTTTCAGCTTGGACAAAGGACTTAGTTAATTTTTCATCAATTTTTTTTAAATCATATTAATGATAATGAATACTGAATTATTTACATTTATTGTCATGATGATGTGCTAGACGAAAAGAATATTTGATTCTGATGGAAAAGAATATTTAATTCTTTTCAGAAGATATAAATAGACATTTTAAAGAAATACAAGCAATTATCATAGTATTGCAAGCAAGTCCCCTACCGGTTAGAACCCCAGCAACATTCTGAAGGGCCATTGGCCATTCACTTATGTTTCTTTTTTAAGTAAATTTGTTGAAAAAATTCTTTAAAAGTGATCACAGGAAACAGTTTTTATGTACAGACAGACAGATGGCCTGAAGGACACTCAAAGTTATTTTTTTAAACATCACTTTTTTTTTAAACATAACATTTTTAAAAGCAAAATTCTTAAAAAGGAGATAACGCTTGAAATAAATTTGCAAGACGTCATACATTATGTGAGTGTAACAAAGAACAACAAGAGCCATGTCAACATGGCCATCCCCCGCCGAATGTGTTTGCTCATTGGAAGAATGTATATGTAGTAGAGCAGAATAATTCCATTTTAAGAGGTCTTTTGGTAAGGAAAACTGATGGCTATAGTGATTACAGATTTGAAACCTATGTGAATACTGATGGCTGAAAATAACAAAGGGCAATAACTGAAAAATAATGCAGGGTAGGTTATTATTCTTGTGTGCCGCATCCCTCCTCAGTAAAATCTATCCACCTATGAAGTTTCAAGTTGATACCTCAAATACTTTTTGAGAAAAAAATTGAATTGAAAAATTAAGTATGAAAAATAACAAAGGGCAATAACTCAAAAATTATAAAAGGTAGAGTTCTCATTCTTGTGCACTGCACACCTCCTGAGTTAGATCTATGCACCTATGAAGTTTCATAATGATATCTCAAAGGCCTTTTGAGTTATGCTCTGGACAAAAATTAATTTTGAAAAATAAACAAGAGGGCCATGATGGCCCTGAGGTCGCTCACCTGTATATAGCCCACCGACCCCCCCCCCCCCACCCGGGGCCAATCTTTACCCAAGGGCTTTTATTTGTTTATTTGAACAGACTTGGTAGACACCCATAAGAAGATGTTTCATGCAAAACATCTACCTTCTAGCTCATTGGGTTTTTTAAAAAAAGATTTTTTAAGTTTTTACTATACACATATAGTTAAAAACAATGACACCCCTTGGGCAAGCCAGTTTTGACCCCCAGGCTTTTATTTGAACAAACTTTGTAGATATTTACTTAAAGATGTTTCATGCTCAATATCTAAACTCTAGCTATTTGGGTTTTTTCAAAGAAGATTTTTAAGTTTTTGCTATACACATATAAGGAAAATAAATGACCCCCGGGGCGGGGCCAGTTTTGACCCCAGGGCTTTTATTTGAACATACTTGGTAGACACCCATTAGAACATGTCTCATGCTAAATATCTTAGCTCTAGCTCTTTGGGTTCTTTAAAAGAAGATTTTTTAAGTTTTTACTATATGCATTTAGGAAAATCAATGACCCCCTGGGGCAGGGCCAATTTTGACCCCAGGGCTTTTATTTGAACAAACTTGGTAGACATTCACTAGAGGATGTTTCATGCCAAATATCTAAGCTCTAGCTCTTACAGGTCTTTAAAAGAAGATTTTTTAAGTTTTTACTATATGCATATAGGGAAAATCAATGACCCCCCCGGGGCGGGGCCAATTTTGACCTCAGGGCTTTTATTTGAACAAACTTGGTAGACACTCACTAGAAGATGTTTCATGCCAAATATCTTAGTTCTAGCTATTTGGGTTTTTTCAAAGAAGATTTTTTAAGTTTTTACTATATGCTTATAGAGAAAATCAATGACCCCCCGGGGCGGGGCCAATTTTGACCCCAGGGCTTTTATTTGAACAAACTTGGTAGACACTCACTAGAAGATGTTTCATGCCAAATATCTTAGCTCTAGCTCTTACGGTTCTTTAAAAGAAGATTTTTTAAGTTTTTACTTTATGCATATAGGGAAAATCAATGACCCCCTGGGGCGGGGCCAATTTTGACCCCAGGGCTTTTATTTGAACAAACTTGGTAGACACTCATTAGAAGATGTTTCATGCCAAATATCTAAGCTCTAGCTCTTAGGGTTGTTTAAAAGAAGATATTTAAAGATTTTTCTTTCGGTTGCCATGGCAACCAGAGTTCTGCATGGAATTAAATTCTTTGAACAATTTTTAAAGGTGACCACCAAAGGAACATTCCTGTGAAGTTTGGATGAAATTGGCTCAGTGGTTTATGAGGATATGTCATTTAAAGCAAAAGTTTACGGACGGACGACGGACGGACGAACGGACGAAGGACAAAAAGCGATCAGAAAAGCTCACCCTGTCACTTTGTGACAGGTGAGCTAAAAAAGGGCAATAACTAAAAAATTATGCAGGGTAGAGTTATCATTCTTGTGCACTGCACTCTTCCTCAATGAGCTCCATCCACCATGAAGTTTCAAGTTGACATCTCAAACACTTTTGAGTTATGCTCCACTCGGGTAAAAAATTAGGTATGAAAAATAACAAAGGGCAATAACTCAAAAATTATGAAAGGTAGAGTTATCATTCTATACACATATAGTTACAAACAATGACACCCCTGGGGCCGGACCAGTTTTGACCCCAGGGCTTTTATTTGAACAAACTTTGTAGACACTTACTAGAAGATGTTTCATGCTTAATATCTAAACTCTAGCTATTTGGGTTTTTTCAAAGAAGATTTAAAGTTTTTGCTAAACACATATAAAGAAAATCAATGATCCCCGGGGCGGGGCCAATTTTGACCCCAGGGCTTTTATTTGAACAAACTTGGTAGACACTCACTAGAAGATGTTCCATGCTTAATATCTACACTCTAGCTATTTGGGTTTTTTCAAAGAAGATTTTTAAGTTTTTGCTATACACATAATTATAAGGAAAATCAATGACCCCCGGGATGGGGCCAATTTTGACCCCAGGGCTTTTATTTGAACAAACTTTGTAGACACTCACTAGAAGATGTTTCATGCTTAATATCTATTTTGACCCCTGGGCTTGTATTTGAACAAACTTGGTAGACACCTATTAGAACAAGTTTGATGCTCAATATCTTAGCCATAGCTCTTTGAGTTCTTTAAAAGAATATTTTTTAAGTTTTTACTATATGCATATAGGGAAAATCAATGACCCCCCGGGGCGGGGCCAATTTTCACCCCAGTGCTTTTATTTGAACAAACTTGGTAGACACCCCTAAGAACGTGTTTCATGCTAAATATCTTAGCTCTAGCTCTTTGTGTTCTTTAAAAGAAGATTTTTAAGTTTTTACTATATGCATATAGGGAAAATCAATGACCCCCCGGGGCGGGGCCAATTTTGACCCAAGGGCTTTTATTTGAACAAACTTGGTAGACACACACTAGAAGATGTTTCATGCCAAATATCTAAGCTCTAGCTCTTTGAGTTCTTTAAAAGAAGATTTTTAAGTTTTTACTATATGCATATAGGGAAAATCAAT